TTTTTTTTTTTGCCAAGGCCAGTGTTGATGCCTAAAAAATTGCTACGAAAAATGGTGACAGCTTCTGTTTTATGAGCCCTGAGTGTTAGTCCTTCACTTTCTTTTTTCTGTTTTTGTTTTTTTTGTTTGCAAACGGTGGGGTGGCTCTGGGGGGAGGGCGTTTTTTTGTTGCAAGTTTGTAAGGAAAATGTTTCAGTTTGTTTCTATTGATCTGAACGTTTTTAATCTTCATGTGTTTTTCGTTTTTGCTTTTATTGATGCACGGATGCTTTTGAACAGTAGAGCAAAATGCTGTACATGAAAACATGCTCTGTTTGTCCTTTATACATTTCTGTAGTTAACAGAACACTGTAATGTGCCTTGGAGCTTAGTAAATTGTAATAAATTCAATTGATATTAATACTCCTCGAGTAGCGAGTGGCGTTCTTCAGAGCTCAGGCAGTGCGCGTGCCGTGTGTGCCCAGTTAAAAGTCTCCATGATGGGAGAGCTGCAGATGGCCGCGCTGGCGGTGCTGCTGTGCGCACCCTTTCACACACACGCCGGGAGATGATGAAGGTGATGGTGGTGATGTTGGCGGTGTTATCGAATTCATCTGAATCTTGGCACCGTGCCTATTTACATTTCACCTTTAAGGTTGCAGGAACATGTTGCTGACTAAGCATTTTCTATTTACTGTTTCTGCATCTCATTTCCTCCTCCCTGCTCCCCCCACCCCCAGCTCTCCAGCTGCAAGCCTTGTTTGCAATACAGGATGCATCCATTGCCCGTGCAATTTAGGAAGGCGTCAGACTTGAAAGGAAGCTTTCTTTCACAAAAGCAGCGGCATCACGTGCTCTACACTTTGGGCTGTTTTTAAAAGTCATGGCAGTTTGGCGGTCGCCGTGGGCTCTCGGTGGAGCAGGGCTGTGGCACGGCACCACAGGGGCGGTGGGAGTGCACGGTCCTGCGGCTGGTGCTGGGCTGGGGGCTGCCACCCCCCCTGGGCAAGGGCTTTTGCTAGTGGAGTTGGTGATGTGAGCCGTGCTGTGGTGTTTTCGGGTGAGGAAGCTTCCCTTGAAGTGCTGGATTGAACTGCTTTCCTTCTGGCAAGGATCGCATGCAATTCTTTGTATAATTAACTATTTTATGTGACTTTGACATTTTATGGAGACTGCAATACCTACTAGGTGATCAGCAGGCAAAGCAAATACACGGGCCTTCACACTAGCTAGAAAACGCAAACAAACCTAATGTGAACTTTGTCCTTTCCAGCGAGGCAAATGGAGGAGAGAGAAAAACCCGAACCAAAACCCGAGCAGCCCTGCAGTTTGACCAACAGAACACGCAGACCTTCCAACTGCAGTAGTGTCAGAGGTGATGAGCTCTGAGTTTTATTTTATTGTTAAGGATTCCTCTTCCTACGAAACAAAACAAAAACCCCACCACAATTACATGCAGAGATTCTTTTCAAATGTCTGGATGGCATTTGGTATCCAGTTGCTCTTTGTAAGACGTTTTTCACATGTGTTCCTGGTGGAAAGTGTAACTGTGGTGGCAGAAGCCTTGAGAGACACAGTGCTTAGTGTGCATGCACATACACCTTTGCTCTCTCCTGTGGACACCTACTCCTGCTATTTTGTGTACTGGCGGTGATATCTTGAGATTCGTTCTTTGGCATCGCAGCATTTGTGACTTCAGACTCAGAACTGTATACATATATATTGTTATTTTTCTGCAGTTTCATACACTGATGCTTCCAAATGTCAAAACCTGCAGTTGTTATGTAGCACATTCAGTGAATAACACAAAGAAAGAATCTTTTGAGTTAATTATTGGATGCAACAGGCATGTTTTTTAGAATATGGATTTGTACTGATTTTATTCTAAATTCTTTTAAAACTTGCAGTTACCACATGGCGGTATATATCCAAAGCAAGAGACAGGGGGCTTAGAGTTGTGGGTTAATGACTGACAGAGAAAAGAAGCATACGCAGGGAACAAGTTGGAGTTTAAACTTAACCAGGAGAGAAGTAATATTCGTGCATGAATTGCATCTGGCAGTAAAAGAAGTACAGCTATTTGACACTTAGCTATGTCCTAGAAGGGTGAATTCCCAGATTTATGGAGATACGCTCTTGTGATCTTGAGATCAGTCACTGGTGGTTGGGGTTGTGAAGAGCTTCGTGTGGTGGATTTTCTTGAACTGAGGAGCATTCTTGGAAAGCTGTTACCAGCCCCAATTTTCGAAATGTAGGTCCATTTACAAGGCCCCTCCGTTTGATTGATAACAGGCAAAGGAAGGGGAAGGGGCAGTGGACAGAGGTGGAAAATAAGCTTGAAGCAAATTGTAATACTACAGTTAATTAAAGTTAACGATCGCTCCAGGACATTTGTTGTATGGAGGTTTTTTGGAACCACGTGACCTTTTCCTTCACTCTGGCTCATTAAGCAGCCAGTCGTGGCACATTAGCCAGCGTTTCTTTGAACCCCCTCCATAGGTGTTTCACATTCTGAAGATGCCCACAGCTGACGAACAGGCTGTGGCCATGTTTTGAGGAGGGGAAAGGGGAGCTGCTGCATGGGGCTCATGGCCAGAGCTTCAGCAGATGTCTGAGTTTTGCAGCAGTGCTTCCACGCTCCCCTCCCCCTCTTATTTTGCAGTTATTTAAGGTAAAGCTAAATGTTTGCTCAAATACATCGTGTACAAAATTTATTTGTCCAGGTGGTCATTTGTTGTGCTCTCATTCCTTCTCGCAATGGGGAAGTATTTAAATGGTTTATTTTCCCAAGATGGTTTTTTTGTTGTTTTGTGTGTTTTTTGTTTTTTTTTTTTCCAGTGAGTTTATTCTTGACATTACTTTTAATAGCCGTGTAGCCTTATTTTCTAAGAAATGGGCTAGAACACGTGTGGCACTGGGTGTTTGTTTTGTAAGTGTTGGCAGCTCTGTGCGAGTTGGAGATGGAAGTGTTTGTGCAGCAAGGAGATGTTATGTCCTTTTGGGGGAAATACTACACAGCTCCATCAGGAGCGTCCTTCAGTACAAACCTTGTTATCGTTTCTGTTTGCTTAGCAGAGCTGTGCATCTAAGCATGCTCTTCCTCTCCCTTCCTTCAGCATTTGAGCTCCAAACTGGCCAGGACTGACATTGTTTTGAAGCTGTGATCTTTTCAAACAGGCTGGCTGCCAGCACAGCTCTGCAGTAGTCACTGGAAAAAGGGCTGTCTTTGCTTCTTTACGTTTCTTGAGAACCGAGTTTTTCTTCCCCTCGAGGGAATGGGCTTTGTCTCCTCCTAGCTCTCAGGTTCCCAGCTTACTATGCAGTAGTTGCTTTGCAGCTTTCCTCTCCTCTAGTTCTTGCCATTTTCTTTTTTTTTTTTTTTTGTGGTATGCAGCCATTCTCCATTCATAGCAGGATGGCTTGTGTTGTGCATTAGCAGCCTCTTTCTCTGCCAAAGTGACACATCCTGTAGATTTGTAGCAGAGTACTGAACTGTCACTGTAATGCTGACTCTTGTAGGGCTATTCTTGAAGCAGGACAGCTTCCCCCTTGGCATTCAGCCATCAGAATCCATTACAGCACGCATTTTCTTCCCAAAACACAGTTCTGTACCTACATAGCTGTTCTCACACCCGTACCCGTGAAGATGCAGAGGACATGGTTATACCTTCTCATGTAGAAGGAGACACAGCAGGAAACTGCTGCGTTTATTTTCATAGTATCTGGAAAATGTGTACTGAGATTTTGTTGTTTCAGTTTCTGCCTTAAAACCCGCCACGCAGACCGGGAACAGCAAAGCTCTGCTGAGGGCTAGCACAGGAGGAGCAGCAGATGATGTCTTTTCCCAGCTGCGTGCCTTTAAAGAAGAATTAGGTGCTGCAGGAGGCTGCTGCGTGGCTGCTCGGGGGCCAGCCTGCCTGGGGTCCGTGCGGGGCTCGCTCTGCTCCTGCAAACCGCTCCCTGACCCTGCACCGCTTCCAACTGCTGACAGCGAACGCGCTGCCTGTCAGCCATTCAGGGAACTGCCGAGAGGAGAAGCATGAGGGAGCCGGCAGCCATGTGGATGTGGGGAGGATGCTTGTCACCGGCCTGTGTGGCCGGCATGGTCCCCAGCTGGTCAGACAGGCTGGGCCACTCGGGGCTGGGGGGGTTCAGCCCCACTGCCGTGCTGGGCTATGTCTTGCCGGTGGTGGTGGGCCTGCTGGCAAGGCTGCCCCCGGCACAGGACCCCCCTGCACGCCTGCAGATGGCCGGGATCGCATTCCCCCGCTGCCGGGCACCCAGGCTTCCCATGCGCCCTTGTAGGGTTATTTGGAGGAGGTGGGAGCAGGGCTGGAGGTGAGGAAGGTCAAGCTTCTTAGGTTTCAGCTGATTTGGCATCTGCTCACGGCTCTTCCCCCTGGAGCCCGGCACCGCCGTGTGTGCTCACTGCTGCTTTTGTGACCCTTTGCAGAGAAATCTCAAAGACGCAAACTGCTGCCGGCCATGAAAAACAACGTACTCTCAGGAAAGCAAGGGGAAGGGGTTCCCACACCGATTGACAACGGGAAAACTGCGGGCTTTCCCCTCGGAGAACCATAACGAGGCCGGCCGCTCTCGCTCAGGCTGGCACCGTTCCCTCGGCACGCACCGGCTGAGCGCTGCCCTGTGCCTGCTCTATTCGGGAGGGCTCATTTTTTTGCCAGCGCGGAGGCCCCCCACTTCGTTCCACACCCTGAGAGCGAGGGCCGGGGCTGGCAACGTGACCGCAGCGCCGGCTGGGGCCGAACCCGACTGTGCGGGGCCGGGAAGCGTGTGAGCGGCGATCCCCGCCCGGCCGGCTGCCTCCACGCTGAGGCTGGGAATGGGGACACGAAACATGTCTGTGCAGCTTCAAGGAGCCGAGCAGAATTCCCCGCTGTCATCATCCTCCTCCCCTCCCTCCCTGCGGGCTGCCAGCAGGGAGGGCCGATCACAGCCCCGCTATTGTTCAAGTAACCTACAAATGGATTTGCATGGAGGCAGGTTGGGAGGGGCGGAGGGGTGGGATTTATTAGCAGCGGCTAAATTCGTCGGGATTACTATTAGGCCGAGAGCTTCTCAATGGGCACGATCCCTGGGCGAGCGGTGCGGTGGCGGGGAGGCGCTGGAAAGCTCCTTTTCTGTAGATGGGCAAAGGGGCGTCCGGTGGGAGCCAGGGGAGGCAGGCAGGGCACAGCTGGCTGCGGGTGCTTCACCTCGGCACAGGCTGTAACCTCCATTCCGAGCACGCAGCTCCTGGCAGCGTCGCTCATACCAAAGCCTTGACTCAGAGTTATCTGCATGCTGGGTAATGAGCAGCGTCACCAGAGGAATGTGCAGAGAAAGCAGCCATGCTGCTGCAAGCCTCCTCTCGTTCCTCGGGCGAACTGCCGATTTAGCAGCCTGCCTCTGCGTGACCGGTTGGAGGTGGGGGCTTCAGTCTGGGGGGTGGCCCGAGTGCACTTTGAAGCCAAAACAGGGTTTTGCCCTTCCGTGAGTAAGCGCTTTGTATGCAAGGCCGGACAGGACTTTGCTAACCTTAATTGAGGACTGCGCCAAGTAAAGGGCGAAGTCACTCCTCCAGTCGCTGGGTGAGTTTATCCATGTTCCACATGGGCAGGCTGCAGCGCTCAGCCAACTCACACAGCAGATGCCTATCTGAGGAAGGGGGGGAGTGCCTGACTGCTGCTCTCCCTTCCACGGGATTAAAAGCGAGTTGTAATAATGGCTGCGTACGGCTGAACTCAAAAGCACTTGCACCACGCAGGCATTTGGGAACAACAGCTTCCAGAGCCAGGCGCTCTCTATAGCCTGTGTCCTTCGCTCTGATGGCTCTGAGGCTCTGGGCTGTTGCTGTTCTTGCTGATGCAACACAGCGAGGGCTGGGGTGAAGGAGAGTGCATACCTGTGTGTCAGAGGTAGGAGCTCCCCTTTGGCGATGATGGAAAGCACAGCAAATTCAAATCAAAGATGAGAGGGGGTTGCTTTGAATTGCTGTACTCCAGATGTATCTGAGGCAATCTCCCTCTTCACAGCACACATCGCTGTAGCAAGAGCAAAGATCACAGCGTAGCCCAGGTTTTCATTTGAACATGTCCAGGCTCGCGCACAGTTGAGGTAAGGACAATGTGCTTTTGTAGATTTGATTTGTGTCAGAGCTAGGGGCAGAACCAGGGAGGGAGGGAGAAGCCTGAATATCTGGTCTGCTAGTGAAAAGTACAGGCCTCTGAGTAAGACAATGCGGCTCATCTGAGTTAGCTGGATGTGCTAGACTTTCTCCTAGAACTCTCTTCCCCAGCATCTGTAACTTATTCCTGTAAAATGAAAAAAGAATGCATAAAATATCTAGGTTTAAAGCATTTGAAAGAGCTCTCACCTTCCTGCAGGAGTAAAGTTTTGAATATTTTCTATGACTTGCTCAGTGTTGTTGATGTGTTTTACTGTTACATGCAAAGATAATTTCTCCACAAAGAATTCAGACTGCACTGATAAGAAAGGCCAGTTGGTGCATCTATTTTATCCCACCTCCTTCAGTGAAAGATTATTTCTAGTATCTTATCAGAAAGAAGCAGCCTTTCAAACGCCGTACCTTAGTAAGTATGCACACTCCATTTTGGCAAACATTTGTTGTGGTTTTGAGAGGTTGTTCTCCCCTCCTCCTCCTGCTTGCTTTCAGCTCTTCTCCAGCTCATCCAGCTACGCTCACTCAGCTGTGCTCATTGCGTCACTCGTGCTGGAAGGGAGGCAGCAAGAGGTGGAACTGTCAGGATGGCATCAGTTGGGGATCCACGAACATAGAGTCGTGTTGTGCTAACATGGCCCTGCAACCTGTGGTAGATTCATGAGTCAGCATCCTGGATAGGTGCCTTGTGGGACAGCTAGTTAGCTGGATCAGGAAACGATGCAGAAATTATCCTGCTTTTGTGCTCCTGTTTTTCCTCATACTAGAAGAGACAACAGCACTTCTTGAGAACTGCACTGCACATGCTTAGGACAAAGAGCAGCTCCTTTTGCCTTTTTTGCATGATTAGTTGCAGCTCTCTGCCTAGATCTTCCTTGTTCTGTTGATATGATTTTCACAGCAGTGTGTTGTGCATATTTTGCAAGTTCCAGCTTGAAACTTCCTCCTAGCAGAAGGCTGTGTCATTTAAAGGAACCCCACCCTGCTCTCCCTTGAAGATGTGCAATCCCAGGCTATGTCTGAGCATGCCTGGGGAGGCAGGTGCAGCCCGGCTGGATCCTCAAGATGACCTCCAAATAAACGCTGCTTAAACAAATTGGACTAATAAGAACATTCAAAATTCAAGTAATAATCAAGACAGTTTCTGCTCTGTAGTCTTCACTTCGTGCTTCTCCCATTCCCTCTTCCTCGGATTTGTAGCCCAGGATATATGCCACAGCCACGTTGCTATGGAAATTAATTACAACATAACTTCAAAGAACAGGTTAGCAATAGCATTAGATAATATGTAGCACCTTTATTGACAGCAAACATCAGATTGATGTTGCTTTTAAAAATGCGTGCATTGAAAGTATTGGTCCCCAGCAGCGCGCACACAGTGCCCTTAGGGCCTTGTCTGGATGAGCTCTGCCATTTGGTGGCACCTATTTTGTGACCACGCAAACCTCTCAGAGATGTTCTGTTTTAGGATCGTCACATCTGCAGACTGATCCACAGCTTTCCTTTATGTCTAAGAATGGCTGGGCCTGCAGTAGCTAATTCTACTAAGCTTCTTAAGCCTTTTTGGCTGTTGTTCCTTAAGGAAACCTGGCATCAGACTTCTCTTGATTTTTCACTGAAGTAAAGGTAGAGTTCCCGTACAGTTGGAAATGCTCTCAATTCCAGCTTTTACCCCTCAGTCTCCACTCAGAAGCCACTTTCTGTGGCTGCCTGATCCAGAAAGCTGCTGTGTTGAATAGAGACCTCCGCCCATGGCTCAAATGGCACACGACAGGGATATGCTTCAGTGAGCAATCCCTTCATGTGCACAAGTTTGCGTGCCAGCTACATATTGCTAAAATTTCCCTGCTCTCAGGAGGACCTTCTGCAAGCTGATGCAGGACTAGAGTGTTCTTCTAATGTTTTTTTGGCAAGCTTCAAATCTTCCTTGCTTTTTGGAGCAGAATGCTCCTATTGGTCACACAAATTAATTCCTTGCACCTCTGTTTCTTCCACCATTTCCTGCAGAGGAGTGCCCAGAACGGTGATCGGTTCCGGCTCCAGCAGCAGACCCTGTGGATGTCCCTCCATCTCATCTCTGAGAACAGAATTAGTGATGTTCCCTGGCTGTTTGGTTGCTACAAATGAGCACATTCCCCCTGAATGCAAGCGAGCCCAGATGCAGTGTCTGCACTCCTGGAGTCAGTCTCAGCATGGCCAGAGCAAGAGCCAAACAGCTCCACGATTTGTGCTGCACACATAGGCCCCTCTCAGTGGGGAGCTGCTCCGCACTGCGATTCTCACCCCCTGCACTGGCAGCAGTGTCCAGACACGCAGACAAACTTTTGAGGGTGACTGTTTTTAGCTCCATCAGTGCAGGGCTAAGCCTGCCCAAACTGCCTTCTACCAGCCCAGCAACAGTCCCAGCCCACGTGTCAGCAAATGCTATGGGAATCTCTTCTGCTGAGGTGAAGGCTGCAGTTCCTGGTGCTTTTGTTGACTCTGCAGGAGGAGTGTCTGGTCTGCTGCTGTGGGGTTTTTTCTGTTTTTTTTTTTTCTTTTTTTTTTCCCCACCAGCAAACAAACAGCACCTCCATCTTTCCTCCTCACAGCAGAAGATTCCATTGAGATATATCTAACTATTGGTTTTGTCATTATCTTTTATGTATCTGCCCCAGTTTTCTCTTACAAATTCAGTCCGTTTGCCTGTCAGTGTGCTTTGTGGTGCACAAGCTTCTGGTTTACTTTCCCCAAGAATTATTCTCTTTCAGCATTCCAAATTATTTGAGACAGCAGTTCATCCTCCTTTGAGCACCTGGCTAGAGGGGGATGACCTGAAGGGTCCTGTCTGCTACAACAAGACAAACCGCACAAGCTTACCTATTCCATTTGCTGCCACTACTAAGTCCTTTCTGTAATTCCTCTGACTCCTTTCTTGCTGGGCTTGATAATCTCACAGAGCTGGTTTACTCCATGTCTACAGGTCCTTAAAGGGGCAGGTTAGACTTAGCACTGTTTGCAAATAATCCAGGAAGATTTGTATATGGTATGGAAGCGTACAATCTCCTACAAAAACACTTTTTTCCTGTTTAGAAATTTGCGAGGTTAAAGTAGATACGTGTGAAGAACAAACTCTGAAAGGCTCTGAGTGCTCTCCGCATGTAGTTGTTTAAGTGGAAGCGTGGTAGATGTTAGGATTAGCGTGAAGTACACCATACCTGGGACGGAGGAACCACTGTGATGTTTTACTTCCGCAGCTTGAAATACATATTACTTACAGATGTGCTTACATTCTTAGCCCTTATGGCTTTCCAGTGCCTCTTGACAAACTCCTGAGCTTACAGAGGTGGTGCTGACTAGCTGCAGTATTTCTTTTCCTAACATAAATAAAGCTGTTGAGTGTGGCAAGGGATAGTTTCTGTCGGGAGAGATCAAGAAATGGAAATGTTCCTCTTCTGGGATGTGTGTCAAGGTGTTCCACAGACCCTTAGCTTAAAATAGAGGATGAAGTAAGAACAAATGCCAGAGGCAAAGGCAAGAAAGGAAAAGTAGGCAAGCTCAATCCTTCAGCAGGTGGGCAGGAAAATGTGAGTGAGACATGCAGACTTTTCTGGTTTTAAATGCTTGAGGGCTGCTCAGAAACTGTTGTGATGGGGCCATTTATAAAGCCGGGCAGGCAAACAAGAGCCAAATGGTTGCATAGTTATGAGCAGGAAAACTTTCCAGAGCAGCAAAGGCTGGGAATAACATAAATAAGGTAGTTGGGCAATAGGTCACAGGGTGAAGAGTCCCTCGTAACCGGTTCATCCATGAGTAAGAAATAATGAGAAGTTCGTAAGTGAGAGACAGCAGATAATCAAAGGCAAGGTCGGCACAAGAATATGGCTCTTGAATGTTGACTTTGCAAATATCTCAGTGGTCATTATTGCTATTTTTCTTATCAGCCAAAGGTGTGCAATGTGGCAGGCAGTCTTTTTCAAAATGCTTACCATTTAAAAAAGCAAAGGAGAAAGAACAAAAGGAGATGTAGAAAAGTTGGAAAGTACTGTTTGAGCATGAGAACACAAAACAGTAGGTCTTGACACACAGCTGGTGAGAAACGAAAGGAGCCAGGGAGTAACAGGTCATATTTATGGCATACGCATTTCTCACACTGAGAAATTCCTCAGTACTTTGTCTAGTTTGAAAGAAACGCGTCCAGCTATTTGGGGGAAGACCTGGCAGTCACTGGGAGGCCTACTGGAAGCTACGTCTGTGCAAATCAGCACTTTGGGTCGGAAAGCCCACCCCAGAGTGAGTAACGAGTGGAAGCGCCTCGAGCGCGATGCAGAGCTTTCTGACACCCTTACAGGAACGGAAGGAATGTCCTTGTCCTGGTGAGCCACTCTCAGAAATGGAAATGATCCAAATCAAGAGGTTTGGAGGTAAGCTCGTGAGAACAGTTAGAGACGTGCAAAAACATCTCTGCACCACAGCAGAAGTAGCTACTGTTTATTTATTCCGTGGCTAAAGCACCTTAGTATGCGTAAGGCTTTGTAGGCAAATGGGGCAGGTCTGTGCCTGAGGAGTTTTGCCTTCTGAGCAAGACAGAGCGCAACAAAGGGAGGCACAGCGAGGAAGTGTGTTGGTACGTGTGTGAGCGGCGCGTCCGTGAGAGGCGGCAGCCACCGCCAGCAGAGGTCAGAGGCAGGGGTGTCACCAGGGCCCCCCCACGGCCGTCAGCTCGCCGTGAGCATCCGCCGTGCTGCCGTGCGGAGGGAAGCTCGCGTTCCATTACCCGCAGGGTGTGACGCGTCTGCTCACGGCTACAGTCCTGGAGGAGCAGCCTCCAGCCTCTGCAGACCGCGTCCCACCGGCTTCTTTTACTGCAATAGCAGCCTCTTTTAGGAGCAAACTGCGTGCTTGTAAGCACAGAAAAGCAGCCGCATTGCACAGGCAGCAGTGGCAAAAAATTAATCGTTTGAATTCAAAAGTGAATTTGGGGGGCTTCTGTGTTGCAGTGCTTTAATACCCATGCACTCAGAGTGTGTAAATTCATTTGTGCGAATGACTTTGAAGCTGGATTCTAAACGTAAAAAGAAGGTGGAGCTGCACGTTTTGCTTGTTGCAAAACTCAGTTAGCTCCCAAACGTGGCACCAAGCCAGTATCAGTGGTGTGTGTGATCAGCCAGCACCTCAGTGCGACTGCAGGCGTCCATCAGACAGACCTGTCGTTTTGAGTGATCAAAACCTTCATAGTTCCTAACCCAGTTGCAGATAATTTCAGAAGAAAATAATATTAATAGAATATGTTTTTGTTGCATATTACTTGCTCGATTCAAGCATTATGTATGCAAATCAGGTAATTTTGTACCTAATTGCCTGATTTGCATGCATAAATGTAGGTTGCACATATGCAAATGATTTTATTCAAATGTAGTTTATGCCTAATGTGTAGAGTGGCTGGAAATGTGAATCTGCGTCTGTTGGTTTGAAGCACTTGTAATTGTCACTTAATGAAAAATCAGGATTGGCCACTGCTTTTGGAGGTCAGCTGAAATGCAGTGAGCTCCAGGGGATGGCTTTGCAGGGGCAGTAACCCTGGAGCTGTGCACCTTCCTCGAGAAATTAGCAATCGTGTGAATGCCCAGAGAGATAAGTAAATAAGAAAGATCATCTTGCTTTAAATGCCAGCAGAAAATCACAGGAAAATGTGGCACTTGTCAAGTGGAAAAAGACAGAATCACTGGAAATGTGGGTTTTGAAGCCTGAGGTGGTTTAGCAGACAGTGAGACCTATGATGAAAAGTGTAAAAATATGGTACTAAAATCTGAGTGCGTTAAAAATTCAGAAAATGTCATGGCTAGGAAAGGAATGGGACTGACGGTTCTTGTGAATGAAGTTCTTTTTCCTGGGCAAAGGACATAAAAGCTTGCTGCACCGTGTCACGTGCCTCACCTCTGATCAGGAAGGACAGTGGATGTGGAGAGTTATTAGGAAAACTCGGGCTGCAGGGCCCACTTTGGTACGGGCCTCCTGTGCTGACCAGTGTGAGCTCAGCGCTGCTGTTCTCATAGCGAGGAGGAAGGGCAGGGCGCGTCCTTGAGGAGGGAACCCGAATCTCCCTACAGCACTTTTCACCAAGGTGTCAGCTGTAGGCTAATAACAGCAGCAGGCTGTTTTCTCCCCATTACTCAGAACTCCCCTGCAAATGTTATTTGCATACAGATGGGTGACAAATGCTCCTAAAATAAGCGTGTAGGAAAACTGGAAGCAATTTGGATGCAGCTATGGACATACGGTTCCAAATTCCCCTCTACGCTGATGTGAAGCACACGCAAGGTCAAGCTCCTTCCACACCCCCTTCACACTGGTGAGGCCCGTAGTAAGGTGTGCACATAAATCAGAATTTGGCACAGAATGCTCTCTGTCCACTTGAGCAGGTTGGTTGCAGCTCTGCTGACATGGCTCTGGTATCAGATGGTCTCTAACCAATGTAGTTTCACTAGTAAGGATTTCTAGCGTGGTTGTGTTTACGACAGCAAGCCAGCTCTTGTCTTGGAGTAGGTTTGTTCACTTGAGAAAGGGAGACAAGCTGGAATAAATGCTGCTCTCCATGGGAAGATGCAGCTTCCAGCTGCAGGAGGGGAAGGTGAGGAGGGCCACGTGCCCTCCCCCTGCATGGAGCTGGTGACCACGGCTCTGTCAATCTGCACCTGGGTGCCCGCCCTGCTGCTGTGCTCTGCGAGCTCTGCTGCGTCTGCAGCGCTCTGCTGCTTACCTGCCCTGCGGCGCTGCTCCCCAGCATGGATTTGACTCTCAGCTCTCGTTTTGCTCCCAGGAGTACAGAGTGGTTTTGATGTAAATGAGAATTAAACTCACCTTGGGTTTTTTTGTTTTTTTTTTTTGTCTACTGTTCTATTACTGGGAGAGAACACGACTTGACTAACACCAAGTCTTGCCTCTTTGTTTGCATGCTAACCTCATCAGAGCACTACACGCAGAGCTCTGTGCAAAATAAATAAACCCAAACCCTGGGCTCACTCCCAACTTGCTACCTGAGTGTTTAGCTAAAGCACAACTTCTGTTACATTGAAGAGATTCTGTGTTATTTGACTAAGTGCTGTTATTTGTACTTATTTTTATTCCATCATAGAGTAAAGACACTTCCTATTTTCCAATTTTCCAGTAGGAGTGAAAAATGCTGCCTGATAGCTGTGGAGATTGAAGGTTTCTAGTTTTTCACAGAATGTGTGTAGCCTGGGTAGTACTCATTTCTTGTTCTACAGCTTCCCATTCCTCCCTGGCTTAGCGTGCCAGATCCATCCCTGATCTCTTCTCAGAGCCCTTTGTTCAGGTGTTCTCTGCAATTGGGGCGATTACTGCCCAGTGCAGAGGGCAGCAGCTCTGAGCAGTGGGAGTCACAAACCCATCTCAGCGGCACAGAGCTCCCATCAGCACAGGCACTGTCAGGGTCTGGGGGACAGGGGGCATCTGTGTGTCATGTGTGGGGTGACGGGCACTATTGCTGTCCTCACAGCCGCAGCTCTGGGAAGGGAGGCACCGTGGCTGCACCAGGGCCTGACTCTCCTGCCACAATCGCAGAAGGGGAGAAGCACTTGCATTGTTCATCTTCTTACTGTCACTTTGGAGGTTACCTTCATTTCTTGACACAGATCCATACTGTGTTTTTGCAGAGATATATTTTTCTCCCAGTTGCCCTTTTTCCTCTTTTTGTACTCCCTGGTTGGCAGTGAGAGTGGTCTGACAGATCTCTGTGTCTGATAAGAGAAATGATTGCCTAAGTGAGAATTGTTTCTGGAGTACATCCCTCCCCTTGGGTTAAATATAGGTTGCGGCATCCCAGCATAATGAAAAGATGGGGAAGCATTTACACGCTGCCATAGTTTATGCCGTGTAATAATTGAGTAAAACATTCACAATTGTAAAAATCATACCTATGAAGATGAGCTTAGTCACTTTCCTGTTAATGAGTCTATATTTTCAGTCAGCCTCTCCCTTACTGCATTCAGCACATGCACTAAAACGTATCCCAGCTAAACCCAATCCTTCAGCCTTTGTGTTTTATCGCCTTGTGATTTGCTGCTGGCTGCAGCAGCCTGGTTTATTATCATACGGTGTGCACTGCAGTACTCGCATAGCGCTGTGCTGCAGGATTGCTCAGCGCGCCAGACCAGGGATGTCCAATCCTTCTGACTGTAAAAAACGAAAGCAAATCTGGAGAGGTTCTGCCACTGTGAAAAACTAGAGCTGTGTTGGAGTGTTGTCCCAACTCAGAACACATCGACAGTTGTCGTAAACTCTTCACTTTGTAACCTGAAATCATCTGCGATGCTGGAATAAAAGTCTTTACGTTCAGAAAGTGGCTGAAATTTGATCAGTAAAAATACAGCTTGAGAAACATTTCTAATTCCGACACAGTCTCCATGTCTTTTCTACGTACACACATGTATGCACATGCATTCCCAACCTGGCACAGAAGCCCACGAGCTCACACAGCCGCGAGCTCACACGTACCTTCACAGGCACCTCACGCAGAACGTGTTCTGCAGCATGGGTGGCACACGGGGTATTTCTGAAGGCAGAACAAGAAGACTGCAAATCGACACTAATGAAAAAAAAGCCAAGAAAACCTCAGTAGAGATTGAGATTTATAATTAATGCTGAACAATTTTCATTGACAAAGCAAAACGAAGCAAGTGGAAGGCTGATTTAAATGCTGAATGATTAACGCGTGGTGAGGCGGCTGAGGAAAGAGACAAATTCAGGAGCAGCTATGGAAATTTATGTATGAGAGAGTCAGCACCATATTCTGATCTCAGTTTCACAGTTGTAAATCTGTTATCTTAATGGAAGTATTCGGCTTTTATATTTGCATACCGTAAGTGAAAATAGAATTTAACCCAGAGTGTGTTGGAGATTGTGTATTTGCAGGACCAAAAGGGGAGAGGTGCAGATGTTTGCCTGCGATAAGCTGCAAATGCATGAGAGTTTTTGTATCTCAGTGAGGAACGGGGGGGACCAGAGTGTGCGTGTGTGTGTGTGTATGCAAGTGTGTGTGTGTATGCAAGTGTGCACATGTGTGTGCGTGCAAGTGTGTGTGTGTGTCCGTGCATGCCAGCTGCGGGGCTGCCTGCCAGCCAGTGGGAGGGTGCGATCGTGTTTGTTCCTCGACTCCCCGGCCGAGTGAAAATGGCCCCTGGAAATGCCGCTTTAGATTAGAGAGCGACGGCTGGAGAGGTGGAGATTTCATTACCTTCCTCTTTGTGTGATGTTTTGAACTCGGTAATGTAAAAGCAGAGCTATAAATAATCCCGTCGCAGCTGCGGCGTCCTAGAGATTTATAGTGCCCGCTAATGCCGGAATCTTTGGGGTGTTTCGCTGCGTACAGCTAAATGAGGAATAATCACCCCTCAGACTGCCGGGCGCTGCGGCCCCACCTGTCCTTCCTCACGTGTCGGGCACAAATCCTCCCCCCTCTATCCCTCCTCCCTCCCCACCGCCCGCTCTGCCCCTGGGTTTGTGCGATGCCCGCGGCCGGGTGCCGGCTCTCCCATTTGCCCCCAGGGCTGCGGTCGACGTCCCCGCCCTCGCCTCCCGTGCTGGAGAGGATGCTGTGGAGGTCACAGCGTGCCGCGTGCGAGCTTTTGAGAAGCATGCGCTGTATTTTTAGCTGCTCCACATTCTCTCATGGCTGGGTTATGGAGCTGAGCGGCGTTCTGCCGTAAGGATGTGCCCAGAATACCAGGCAGCCTCCAAAATGTATTGTGCCGCAGAGTCCTGACTCGGTGCCGCTCCGTGGCTTTCCCGTGTAGCTTCCATGCTAGCAAGAGACAAAAAATGGTTCCTCGTGCTCCGGGTGCTGCCGTCACGTATGAGGAGCCCCGCTGTGGGGAAGGGAAAGCAGCGGCACCGGGGCTGGCCGGCCTGAAGCCTGAGTGGTGAAGCCGCCCTCGAATTTCTTCTTGGATGCTGCTCTCCGGTTTTGCCTAACAGGCAGGGAGCGGCACACGCTGCGTTTCACGAGTGTGCTTCCCAAGCGCGTTTTCAGCCCCCCTCCAAGCAGCGCTTTGCGGCGGCAATCGCGCTTCCCTGCTGCCGGGCCGTGGCACAGGGCGGCATTTGGGACAGGGCGTGGGGCGAGTGCCGGCGCTGGGTCACCGTGCCGGAGGCAGCCGGGCCGCCGCGCCTTCGAGGGGTGAGAGTGCTAAGGATGCCGGCTCCTGTCAAT